TTAACCGTACATTGGTCAAGCTTATTCCATAGAGCTTTCAGAGTTTGATTGAACATTTGTGCATCCTTCCGTTTTGGTTTCTCAGAATTTAGCCAGTCTAACACAAGCTTGAGGTTGGAGTCTTGCTGTTGTCCACGAATTAATCTTGCTGGGTTTGAGAACTTTGGTGCAGGGAGAGGACGGTCCTCAGTTCCGTTATAAGAAGTAGAATCGTCTCCCCGGACTGCAGAGCAAGTCTGCTCATCAGTTATTGTGGCTATAACCTTTGAATGCGTGTCCGGCGATTGTTCTTTAATCTTCTTTGACCAGTAGGCATACAGATCGTCCGATTGTACACGTGACAGGGCATCAGCGATTTGGTTGTCTTTACCCGGTCTGTGTATAATGTTAAAATCATACTGACTAAGATGAATTGCCCACCTGAGGAATAGGGTACCGTCTCCTTTAGACAGTAAGTTCTTGTAAGTAAGAAGCATTAAGTCTGTTTCGACAATGAACTTTGCTCCGTGTAGCAGGTAGTTATGTTTCCGTATAAAATGGTAAACTGCCAGAAACTCGATTTTGTAACTAGCCCACGTAGATTCTCTTTCGGACAATGTTCTGCTATCGTATAAGATGGGATGAAACTTTGAGTTTGTCTCCCTATGACCAATGACACAGGCAATTGCAACCTTTGATCCGTCAGTCATTACCGTTATGGTCTTGTTTTTGTCTGGATTAACAAGAACTGGTGGATTGGTAATTAACTGCTTGAGACCTTCGAATGCGGCAATAGCTTCAGGGGTCGATTTGATTCTGGAGATTTCCTGGTTCCCTCTCAAGAGCATGGTTAAGGGTTTGATCACTTCGCTGAATTTTGGAATGAACCTCCTTACGAAGTTAAACACACCGAGGACTCGTTGCAATCCTTTACGTGTTGTTGGAAATTCTAAAGACAATATGTGTCGTATTCTATCATGGCACATGGTGAAACCTTCCTTTGAAATGAAACTTCCAAGAAATTTGACTCTCTTCTGGTATATTTCACATTTTTCCGGTGCTAATTTCACTTTGGCCATGTGCAATCGCTCTAGAACAATTTCGAATTTCTTGACGATTCCATCAAATGAGTCATCTGATATCAATAGATCGTCAAAGAAAACACATATCTGGTGCAACTGGTCTTGGAAAACTCCCTGTAGAAACTTTAAGTAGTAAGCAGGAGCATTTTTAATGCCTGTTGCAAGACGCGTCCATTGGTATGTCTTACTTCCGACACTGAAGGACGTGAGGGACTGGTGTTCTTCTTTCAACGGCAGAGTGTGGTACGCACTTTTGATATCGAAAGTGCAGTAAAACATTTTCCCTCCAACTGAGTGAACGATCTCGTCAACGGACTGAATTGGACACGTATATCCTATAGTATAGGAGTTCAGAGTACGATAATCCACAACCAATCTAATCTTTCCGTTTGGTTTTTTAACGATGACAGCAGGTGAGTTATGAGGAGAGAGAGATGGTGTTATTACACCTGAATCCAAGAGTTTTTGAACTTCCTCCTCTGTTTGTTCGACCAGATGTAGTGGTAAACGTCTCGGTTTAACGAAAATTACCTCGGGTGCATCAGGAGTAAGATGGATCTCCGCTGTGAGAAGGTCAGTTGGTGTGACATTCAGTGCATCTGTAGAGAAAACATCAGAGTATTTAGTAACCATCCGTTTAAGAATGTTCTTATTCTGTTCTGAGAGATGGGGGTTTTCGTCAATTTTAAGAAGTTTGATTATCTTTTCGACCTCGTCCTCCGATTGTTGCTCAATGGAGTTGACATTTGTTCGTAGTTGAACAAGTTTTCCCAAAATAGTTGAAGCTGGTAAGAATAATTGTACATCGCTGTTGGTCGCAACTGCGATCTGAAATATTCCGTCGACAATAGAAACCACAAAGTTTACAGGCAGTTGGTCATTAGTTTTCCAGAGCGTGATATCCGGAACATAAAGGAAATATCCAGATACAGAACAAGGGGCATTTGATTGCACCAGTTGAGCGTCAATAACTCCATATTGTGATATAGTTACAGCTTCTTTTTGCATTGCCATAAAAACTGGCGGTGAGTTGAACTGTTTTATCTCTGTGACGTCCTTTTTTGATTTTCCTCGAAGAGTCATGGTGTGATAATTAATTGTCATTTTGTTTTCTTTTAGAAAATCGCCTCCGAGAATAGCGATATGTAGGAGTTTTTCGACAATCAAAAAAGGCCAATTGTATTTCATCTTTCCAATTACAATAGGTAGTTTTATTTTCCCTAAAACTGACAAAGATGATCCATTAGCTGTCATTAGCTTAATGTTAACTGCAACCATAGACCGTTTATTTATTTCAGGCACATATTTGCTGTCTATAATGGTGTATACACTTCCTGTATCCAAGAGAGCGTATACATTTGAGTTCATAATGTGTATTTGTACATAAACCGGTCCATTTGAGCTGGTAGTGTGTTGCAGTGAGCTAATGTTCTGTGACTCGGAGGCTCTTAAAAATTTTCAGACTTTGGCGTGTCGTCGTCATCTGACAAGAGGAGCTGGGATACATCAATGTATGGAGAATAATTTTCCATAGTCGTTCTCGATTCGCTTCCGTCTTCTAGGATTGTGTTTACTTGGGGTCGGCTCTGAAACGTGACCCTCTGTTGATTTGGTTGTACTTCACGCTTCCAATTTGGTGATTGTTGTCCTTCTCTTGTCTTCCTTTCTCCTGTATTGGTTTCCCTAGAATTTGGATATGGCCGTCTCGGCATGGGTGGACGAGCCGGGGTATCAGCTCGTTGGTATTGTTGAGGCTGATATTGGTATCTCGGTTGACTCGAGTAATTTGGTCTCGACCGGCCGAAGCTGTTTGGCACAGATGGATACCAACCATTAGAATGTTGAGCTCTTCCTTTCTCGACGCTCCGCATGCGATTGTTTCTGTTATCTTGATCTTCACGGCGTTCCTTTTTGAAACATTCATGAGTCCAATGATTCTTCATTTTGCAATACTGGCAAAATTTTGCCATTCTGCAATCTCGTCGCAAATGTCCAATCTTTTTGCATGAATAGCACGTTCTCGTTTCTGGTCGTTTCATAATCTGCACAGGAACAGCAGGAGGCTGAGATTTGGGAGACTTTTCTTGTTCTTGGTCTTGGATGTTCAAGAGCGCAGCTGTGTCAGACAACCCATCGCCTCCAATTGGTCTGCTTTTCAGTTTCCCGATGATTTTGTCCAGATGTTGGCTATGCTCAACAAGTTTCCCGTATCGGTCTAGTCCAGATGTTGTGAGAAGCGAGTATGCTACTCGCTCAGATCTCAGTCCATTGATGAATGCATCCTGGAGTAGCTCTTCTTTAGTGCTACCAGGCATCTTCTTGCAAGTAGGAATTAGATTGATCATTTTCTCGAGTCGCTCCGCAAAATCGAGGATGGTTTCTTCTGAAGTTTGTTTGATGTTGAACAGTTCGTCGACCGACATTCTGCTGTTGTAGTTCGGGTCGAGCTTCTTGACGATCATCTCTTTGGCTGCATGCCAATTTGTTGTTTGTTTATCTGTTAGGTTCAGTGACATAACTCTTGACAAGCTTTTGTTATCCAGAAATGTGCAGAAGACTTTGAATGAAGCAGACGGAGGAAGACCGATGACTGTGCAGTAGTTGTCGAATGCCATAAGGAAGTCGTGTACGTCATCCCCGTGATTGAATTCATGGGGTTTCTTCCCCCCGAAAAGCTTAAAAGAATCTCGATTTGGAGGTGTTATATCTCCAAGGCCAGGCATATTGTTGTAGTCAAACTTGTCGTTGTCATAATGTAGGTTGTCATGGTAAAGCGCTGTCATATTTGGTTTATAAGGAATTGACCCAGTAGGCGGTTGGTATGGTGTGTGTTGTGGAATATTTGTCGTGTTCTGCAATTGATTTGTGTTGTTTTGAAGGATGGGTTCTGTTGCTGCAGTTGTAGTAACTACATTTTGAGCTTCGGTTGTGGCAGGATTTGTGACAACGATGTCAAGATCTACGTCTGCCGAATGATGGCTCATATTGGCAGATAAAATCGACAGCGAAAATTGGCAGAAAAGGCAAAAAGAAATGTGTTGTAGCTCTAACCTTGTAATTAGTAATCCAATTTGGTTTAGAGTCGCAGCACCACTTGTGGGTTAGAAAGAAAGGGGGTAGATCGTCTAGGTTTGAGATATGTTGAGTAGATGTAGGACTTTGTTCCAACAGATTATCTGTCTGTTCCCACGATGGAAGTTTGCGTTGTGTTTTAGTTAGGCTTTGTATTTGTAGTGTAGACAATAAAATACAATGGATGTGGGTAATAAACAAATTAACAAGCAACCAAAGGACGATGGTAGATTACGTTTAAGTCTTTGTTAAAGTTGAGTGGGCGTTCAAGAAGTGGGGAATTATGGGTGTGTCTAGGGTTTTTATAGGTTGTATCATTGACGTAGGGTTTACAATCACGGAAACGATTATCTTAGTCATCGTTTCCGCTACTTCGAAATCATGAACAATGAGCGTGCACTGGACAAACGGGACAGAACAATGAGAACCCTCGCTCATCTATTACTCCATTAATTACTTTTCCCTATAAGATGATTCACCTATAGATGATTCACCTTTACGTTGTGAAGCCAATTGTTTGTTAACCTTTGGCGTCACAATCAGTTCCGGTTTGCAGTCACAGGCCCTGTCTGTGACCTATTAACTATAAGTTACCTCATTTGGAGATGTGCCAAGCACAAGCAGATAGCTGGCAACCTGCCAACAGGGGATAGCAAAGTTATATGGCTTAGAGTGTGCAAAGGGTGATCCCACATTGTACAGGAACTGAATCATTGAACTTTCTCAACTAAATTCACTGGATCCTATGATGAGTTTAATTTTGTTTTTACAGTAGGATGTAACAAGTTATATCTTAGATATAAAATTAAAACAGCAGAGCATCATTTATGGGCAGTTATAAATACCACCAAGTCCTAAGAAACTTACCGAAAGTAAGGAAGTTGACAACAATCTCTTTGAAAGTAGATGTTGCTGAATCCGAATATTCTACAGATTGCGCAGCACATTTGTATGTCGCGGGATTTGCAGCGACAGCTACACTTGTAAGAGTGGCAACATCGATGGTCAGAGTTGATGTCTGAATTTTGGTACCAGAGTCAGCTGATCCCTGTGCGATGGTGTACCCTGCACTATCACTTGTTATATCAGCCCCAGCATTATCCTTCCACGACACAATGACATCTGTAACCACATCTCCGATATCACAAGTCAATGTCTGAGCCACAGGGGTGGTGGCTTTTTTAGGAGTCTCCGGAACGACGGCTAAAATAATTTGATTCTTTCAAACTCACAAAACATTTGGTATGTTAAAGTATCATTACATGTAGTTGTAACTAAAATAGCCTAAATTAAGAAAGATTACTGCTGCAAAATTTGAATAAGCCCTCGTTATACACATTGTGGTTCTCAAAATGTATCAAGATTACTCACTGAAAACGTTAGAGTTGACAACAGTCTCTTCTGGAGACGCTGATGTTTTTGCATGCTCGTCAGATTGAATGACACAGGTGAAAAGAGCATCAGCCGTGCTTTCACCAGCAGGTACGGTCAGAATTGTAGTTTGACTGTTTGAACCAGGATCGTAAGTTCCAATATCAATATTATAGCTGTCAGTACCGTCCGTTATAACACCACCCGAACTAGGTTTCTTCCATGTTACTGCATCCAGCTGCTGACTCAAACCACTTACTACACAAGATATTGTAGCTTCTGTGTTTGTCAGCACTTCGCTACCCTTAGCTTTCACATCTGAAACAATCAGTCGTTTAAAATAAGCCCGCAATAAAAACTATCAACAGTATTGTACAGGAACTGAATCATTGAACTTTCTAAACTAAACTCACTGGATCCTTAGATCCTATGATGAGTTTAATTTTGTTTTAACAGTAGGATGTAACAAGTTATCTTAGATATAAACTAACTGACCACAGCGTTTCACCAGCTCAGTGTCTAAGAGCTGCAATAATACGTAATAATTTGGCCCTTTATTGAATGAATTGTTGCACGAAAATCATTAAACTTCTAGCTTACTTGATCATCAGTATGACAGATAAAACTGTCAGCCTAGATATGTTACGCTCACCCAGTGTTAGAATGGTAGCTTCGACTTCTACGTTGCTGGTTGCAGGAGAATCTGTGTATTGGCCAGACTGGACTGAGCACTTGTAGGTCACTGATGATAGACTAGTAAAATCAGGCAGCTTCGCAGCTTTGATGGTTAGTTCTGCTACCTGATTTCCGCTTCCATCTACTGATCCTCGGCTGAAACCATAGTTGTCGGTATCCCCTGTCAAAACTTCAGCACCATCATTATCCTTCCAAGTTACAGTAGCAGGGGTTCCACTAGGGTCGAGCCCTCCGATATTGCAAGTCAATGTCTGGTCTACAGTGATGGTGATATCCTTGGGAGTCGAAGTAACATCTGAATTGTTTGGTTCGTGGTAGAGGATATTTTTATTATACATGACAGAAAATTCATACAGCCTAACAATAAAATTTGCACTCCTTAAGGAATGCACGACTGCAAGTTGCAATATCAATAAAACGTTACTTTCAGGATTTATAATAAATGATTTGACCAAAACCCATAATTGGGTTCTCGATATCATTTTGCATTTGCATACGGTCATTCAAATTAATATCATCTATTTTTGTTTGGGAAAGAGAGACACTGGCAGCGGTCCACTCTACCCATAATTATGGGTTTTGGTCAAATATCATCTCTTATTGATTATAATGTCAGGGTACTTTACTAAGTCGAAATGTAAACTCATAACTTCATTAATAACGAGGTTATTTCAATGATTTCGAAAATTTACCTTAAAAAACATTTTCTTGTGTTTAGGTAAGCAAATCTGTCGATCACTGACTGAATATGGCACTTTTTACTCATTCAAGTTGGCATTAAATTCATATATAATGCCATTTAAATGTCGTGGGAAAGCAAAATTTATTCGAATAACGAATGAGCAAAATTCTCACCTTTCGCGCGTGCCGCGTGCAAACTTTGAGCGGACGTTGCGTGCGCATATAATATTGAATCACGGCCGTAAATTTTTGCATAGCGGTATTTTATACATTGTTTGATAAGCGTGCAAAGTTTCAAAAAATTTCAAATAGAACTTGGATCACAACGGGACTCCAAAGTTGATAAAAATCGTGAAAACACCAATTTTCAATGATTTTAGCAATTTTCTATCAATTTGGGCTTGTCCTCACGTGTGCAACTTTTTGATTTACAACTTTAAAACTAGCCTATAACACCATTTAGACCTTTAGGAAGCAAATTTGAGCTTTACAACTTAAGGGATGGCCCAACACCAGAGAATATTACATATATCTTTATGAAAGAGATTTCTAACTCAATCTTAATTTTTAACAGGTTTTTTAAGGCACCTGAATATGGCGATTTTGGGTTTTTTACCGTATTTCGTATAACAGTGCTGGCGCGTATTTTGCGCAAATTTCTTAAAAACCTCCACATAACTATTTCTTATTTCTGTCATATTTGACATTGAATTAGAATGTTTTAAACTTAAAATATGCATGCTGAACTACTTTCGGTGAGTCTTAATGCCTGAAAACAATTAAGGGGGTATAATAGTAAAGGGGGTAAATAGTAAAGGGGGTATATTAGTAAAGGGGGTAAACAGTAAAGGGGATATAATAGTAAAGGGGGTATAATAGTAAATGGGGTAAATAGTATACCCCCAATAAAGGCAACGCTCGTGCTTGCCAGCACTGTGATAATATATACAATCTTTCACCCAACGTATTTCTTTATGGTGTCGATTCTTTTTTATTCTCATTGCTGTATATTGTATATGTACTATTTGTAAAAGTTTCAAATCAGTGGACTTACAACTTATAGATGAGCAGTAGGAGCAACACTCATCATCATTCCTAGCCTCCAGCTGGTCTTCCTTACAATTAAGAGTTGGACACACTTTTTCTTGGCACGTCATCTCCCCTACATCTTGACAGGTACAGGTTTGGCACTCTGCTTTCTTTTCTATAATTTCTCCGTTCTGCATATTGATAAGGTTTATAATAATAGAAATAAATTCTTATTTCTAAAAAGCAATTGGAAAAAGGTTCCCAAGATGTGTTATTTCTCGTATCACTGAATGTCGTCATAGTCACTTACATCGCATATATATCCCTCGTAGAGACACTTGCACCCACTAGCTTCCACACAAAGTCCATCCTGTAGGAACTGGCCTTCTGGACAGAAACACCCTGCAACAGTCCCGGTCTTCGACGGGTCCCTGTTGAGGCAAGTTGGTACTGGGGTGGCTCCGTCAGGTATGTACACTGTTGGTTCAGGACAATCGTACGCTGAGGAAAAGATAAGAGTCAGCTCAGTTTTTTTAGATTTCTTATACCAGAAATAGGCCCAGTTCCAAGCTCTGTCATAATATTATGTCGGAATAAATAAGTTCAACCGGAACATTTTTGTAGAAAAATAAAAAAAGTTTTGGAACTTAGGAATTACTTTTAATTGCAAATGTATCATCGTATGGTTTCCAATAATATTAATAACTTACGACAGAATGCGACATTTTCTCTCCATTGGGCGGCATCAAAGCCGTTATTTTGACATTGCGTGGCGTACACGTCAAATTGAGGACAAGCACACGCCTGAAGAAAGATCATTACAGGTAAAACTGGAAGTGTTTTAGTATGGATATAGAAGGAACATTGGACAGAATCATGCCACCAACAAAAAATATTGAGACTTTTTGTTTCTTTAAGTCAAAACAACTGCCGGGTACTTTGCTTGGCTAAAAGTATACAGCTTAAAACGAATTCGATTAATGCGTTAATGTGCTCTAACTTTTTCCAAATGACATTGACACACGTCCATCATACAGTCCTTCATGGGACCACCGTTTCTATCTCCAACCGGTACTGCGTCATTACATTGCTTGAACGGGTCATCTAGGAGAGATTGGTTTGATAAGTTGTTCTCTGAACCGTTAACGGGGTCAAACAGGTCCAGTTTTTAAGTTCGGGAATATTATCAGAGATTAAGACACAATTCACTGTCCTAATACCTTGTCCAGTGAATTTTATGAAAATTATAATTGAGACTGCTTACTCAGGAGAGCAGAACATATAGCCTCAGCTTCGTTGTGCAGGTTCCCGTTTTCCGTGCAAACATCTAGTTCGGGAGGAGGAGCAGGATCACAGTTCTCATCAGACTCCTGGTGCATTATTCCCAAGCTGTTTGCACTTCCTCCCGTCAGATCATCGTTAGGGTCCCCGTTCCAGTTCCCACACATACCCTCCGTTATAGCAGCACACGACCCGTGGAGCCACATTTCAGCGTTGATATAAGAACCACCGTTGGTAGCACGCAGACGCACGGACGGGTTTCTGTCCTTGTTGTGCAGCCTTATTTCAAGTTGACCATTGTTGATGATTTCAACCTTATCTCCGTTGTTGTAATGTTTAATGTAGGGAATTTGAACCTGGTAAGTTTATCATTTGCAGATTAATATATTATGAGATTTGGGAAAGCCTGTTATTCACAATTTTGAATTTTGTACGAAAGTCTTGATTAATAATATTTTGGGACTAGGTGGCAACCCACAAATTTTGATTTAACACTATAGCACTTGACATTTGTAGAAAATTGTAATAAATATTGAATTACTCACTGCGGTATCATCGACCTTTGACTGCCAACCCCTCTCAATGGAAAACTTGGTTCCCTTGAAAATCAACTTAATTTGTTCGGTGTATCTTGGTGCTCGATTATGAAGATCAACGTTCTTGAAATTTACGTGAAATAAGAATTGTGATAACAAATGTTGCAGTTTGTAATATTCACAATTTATTGCAGTATCTCATTAAATTATAACATGAAATTCGGGTATGAGCAGATCAAAAGGGTAACTGGGATCGCATAATACTATGTTTGAATGTTGTATAAGGAAACCACGAACTAATAAGGTCCTGTTAATTAATTTCTTGATAACATTTGAAGCACATTTACTGACCACAATTGTACCTAATCACAATTCTATGATAAAGAAGAAGCTAAACAATAAAACTTACAACAAAGTCGCCACAGCTGGCTGCCTGGTAAGTACATTTTCCATGAAAATCATAGTATTTTCCGTCAAACGACCTGTAGTGAGGATCACTAGAGCTGGAACAATAACCTGGTACTGAAATTAATTTGGTGAGGACTAATTTACTGTAGTAATAAATCCTTATCAACATTGTACTATTGTAGGTTAATTACCTGCCAAGACGCACGCCGAGTTGGACCAGTCGAAGGTTCGGAACAAATATTTTAAGAGTATCACCTGTTAAAATCAACATAGCGTGTCTTTTAAGGATCTGTGTTGGGTCCTTTACTTTTTCTCATTTATATTAAATTATAAACATTTACAGATGTAGTATCTTAAAATACATTAGGTCCTCGAAGCATTTGTACCATGTTTGCTGAAGATACGAATATCATAGTAGCGGCAGAAAACAAGGAACAGGCATATAGAATTGCAAATGGAATTTTTGTTGAAGGTGTATATTAAATAATATGCGCCATAATCTTTTGCACTTAAATGTTGAAAAAATCTTGTTACATGTACTTTTAGCCCACGAAACGTAAAAATGTAAATAAAAGGGAAAGTAGTGAGAGTCTAGAAATTGATAGTAGATCCCGATCGAACAAGTCACCGAAATGAAATTTGTAAGTGTTAACATTTACGATATAAACTGTGTTGGATACCTCTTATCAAGAAAGTAGAAACTAATTAAGAAATTAAACAGTATTTAGGTGGTCTTATCTATGGAATAAAAACGACTTATTTTTTATCATTTATGCCTTTTTACATTAACCATTATGCAACTAACGGAACGGAATTTTTGAAGTATATGAGTATAATATGGCAATACCCAGTGAAATAATTTATTTGGTTGTTATATTATTATTAATTGATTGATGATAAGTGATAAAATTGTTTTTTTTTCTAAAAGGAAACAAATTGTCATTTCTAGTACCAACCCAATATTCTACTCTCCGTTATCAGTTATAACCTACATTTAGTACACGTGGACTTGCAATCCTCAGGATTTGTCCATTTCTCAGTGCTTCCCGGACAGACAAGAGTTTCGTCACCACACACACAGTTGATACCCGCCTCAAAACAAGTACAAGTTTTTCCATCTTCTCCAGGCCACTGCTCTCCTCCAGAGTAGACTGTTCCATCTTCAGCAGTACAGTTTATAGATTTACAGTAGGAACAGCACTCATCATCATTCCTAGCCTCCAGCTGGTCTTCCTTACAATTAAGAGTTGGGCACACTTTTTCTTGACACGTCATCTCCCCTGCATCTTGACAGGTACAGGTTTGGCACTCTGCTTTCTTTTCTATAGTTTCTCCGTTCTACATATTGATAGGTTTTATAATAGGAATAAATTCTTATTTCTAAAAAGCAATTGGAAAAAGGTTCTAAAAATGTGTTATTTCTCGTGTCACTGAATGTCGTCATAGTAACTCACATCGTATATATGTCCCTCGTAGAGACACTTGCACCCACTAGCTTCCACACAAAGTCCATCCTGTAGGAACTGGCCTTCTGGACAGAAACACCCTGCAACAGTCCCGGTCTTCGACGGGTCCCTGTTGAGGCAAGTTGGTACTGGGGTGGCTCCGTCAGGTAGGTACACTGTTGGTTCAGGACAGTCGTACGCTGAGGGAAAGATAAGGGTCAGTTCAGTTTTTGAAGATATCTAATTCCAGAAATAGGCCCAGTTACAGGCCCTGTCATAATATTATGTCGGAATAAATAAGTTCAACCGGAACATTTAACAGCATATTTTCCCTGCATTTTTCAAAAAGATTTTTCAAAAAAAAACGGTTTTGGAACTTAGAAATTACTTTTCATTGCAAATATATCATCGTCTGGTTTCAATAATAACTTACGACAGAATGCTACATTTTCTCTCCAATGGGCGGCATCAAAGCCGTTATTTTGACATTGCGTGGCGTACACGTCAAATTGAGGACAAGCACACGCCTGAAGAAAGATCATTACTGGTAAAACTGGAGTCTGGAAGTGTTTTAGTATGGATATAGAAGGAACATTGGACAGAATCATGCCACCAACACAACATATTGAGACTATTTGATTCTTTAAGTCAAAACAACTGCCGGGTACTTTGCTTGGCTAACAATACTTACTTACTTGTACTTGATTAGGTCTCCTCAATCATTCGAGTGGCCTGCACCAATGAACTCCCGTTTGTGACGTATCATCTCCCTCCAAAGTTTGCGGTCATTAGCCATCTCGCTCGCTCCTTCTAGGTCTATGTCAGTGTTTCCTGTAAACGCTGCAGCATCTTCCAGCAAACATTTCCTCCAGTTCTTTCTTGGACGGCCCCTAGATCTTCTCCCATGGGCAGGGGTCCAGTTAAGCAGGTACTTAGGAAGCCTAGTGTCTGGCATTCTGGTGACATGGCCAAACCAACGCAGGCAGTTTGCTCCTATGTACGTCTCTACTGGATTTATCTTTGCACGCTCCAGCACTTCAGTGTTTCTAACCCGATCGAGCCATCTTATCCTAAGTATTCTCCTCAAGCAACGCTGATGGAACACTTCAAAGCGATGTAGCTGCTTTTTGGTTGTGTTCCAAACCTCACTACCATATAACAATATTGTCAAAACCGCTGCCTTATAAATCCTGATCTTTGTATAAGACTGGATGTTGCGGTTTTTCCATATATTACTCAGTTGATTGAAAGCTCCGGAAGCTTTCTGAATCCTGGCTGACAGCTCACGGTCGATAGTACCGTCGCTGGAAATAATTGTACCTAAGTACGTAAAGTCACTAACTTGCTGCACTGGCGTGTCTTCAACAGTACTTTTAAAGTACGCTGGTACGATTTTTATCTTATTAAATTGCTGTTCAATATCTATTTTAGTAAACATTAACTGGGGTAGTAAAACCCAGTTCCCAATCAAACAGTGATGTTCACTGTGGCTTCTTTCGTGTATGGCCGTTGAGAGGTTGCTTTACCAATGACCATAGCCTCAGTCTTTTTACCATTGATTCTGAGACCTCCCTGGGCACCATACATACACAAAAGGTCAGTTGTTTCTTGAAGACCTTCCTCGCTGTTATCCAGTACAGCCATGTCATCTGCATAATCTGTATCTAACACAGTGATATCATCAACAAGCGGACTGATAGATCTTTGAAGAACCGCTCCGTGGGACACCACTTTGTTGCTTTCTGTTCTCTCAGCAGCCACATTGAGGCAGACATTAAAAAGTGGGGGACCCTGAATGTCTCCTTGGCCACTGCCTGAACTTACTTCAAACCATTCTGATAGTTCACCATTGTGTCTAACAGCACTAACAGTTCCATTAAAGAATGCCTGTATTATTCGAATGTATTTACATGGCAGGCCATAATGACTGAAAGCTTCCCAAATATAATTCCTGTCGATGGAATCAAAAGCTGCCTTGAAGTCCACAAAATTTACATACAGGGGGAGATTATATTCAATGCAGTTATGTATAATAGTGCGGAGTGAATAAATCTGATCAATGCATGATCTGTTCTTTCTAAACCCACACTGATTGTCTCGTAGCAAACTTTCTAAACCGTCACTCATGCGTTGTAATATGATGATTTGATACAGTTTAGATGCTGTAGATCTTAGAGTGATCCCCCTATTATTGGAGCAATGAGAGGTATCACCCTTCTTTGGTACAATTATCACGATGCCTTTCAGCCAGTCGTCAGGCATTGCTTCTGAATTCCAAACTTTAGAGAACAATTTCTCCATCCTATCCACAAGACCACTTGCCCCATACTTTAACTGCTCATTAGAGATTTCGTCGATCCCAGCACTTTTGTGGTTCTTCAATTTTTTGAGACAGTTTAAAATCTCAAGTCTAGTGGGGGGACCATCACCATCACCAAGATAAGGAAAGCATGGAACCACTTCAAGATGGTCCAGGTCAGACAGATCCGCATTCGTGGGAGGAGGGTTTAATAGCTCCGAAAAATGTTCTCCCCATCTCTCTCTCTGAGCAGAGGGATCAGCAATCAACTTCCCGGATTTGTCTCTTACAGCAGTTGATTTTCGATTCTTCTTACCGGACAGTGTTTTTATCCGTTGCCAGACTTCCCTTTGCCGGCCATGAACAGCAGCTGTTTCCAGATCTGCTGCAACTCTAAGAGCCCAATTCTCGTCGTCTTTCCTGCAGCTCTTTTTGACAAGTTTGTTGGCCCGAGAATACTCGCTCCTATTGTTGTTGTCACTAGGCGCCATCTGTTTAATCTTACTGCGTTCTGCAATAAGGCTTTTTGTCTCCTGAGACAAATGCTGCTGCTTTCTGCGCCGGGGGCGCTCACCCAGTACCTCCATAGACACTTCTTTAATAGTATCCTTAACTAATGTCCATTCTCCATCAAGATTCTCCTCCATTGGTAGGCAGCTAAAACGATTTTGAAGAGCAATGCAGTACTCTTCAACCTTGGACTGATCTCTAAGATTCTCAATTGCTGGAGATATCCTACGAGAGGCGTTCATTTTTTGAACTGCCATAAGTTTGACTCTAAATTGACCCCGAACCAAATAATGATCGGAGCTAACAATAAACAGCTTAAAACGAATTCGATTAATGCATCAATGTGCTCTAACTTTTTCCAAATGACATTGACACACGTCCATCATACAGTCCTTCATGGGACCACCGTTTCTATCTCCAACCGGTACTGCGTCATTACATTGCTTGAACGGGTCATCTAGGAGAGATTGGTTTGATAAGTTGTTCTCTGAACCGTTAACGGGGTCAAACAGGTCCAGTTTTTAAGTTCGGGAATATTATCAGAGATTAAGACACAATTCACTGTCCTAATACCTTGTCCAGTGAATTTTATGAAAATTATAATTGAGACTGCTTACTCAGGAGAGCAGAACATATAGCCTCAGCTTCGTTGTGCAGGTTCCCGTTTTCCGTGCAAACATCTAGTTCGGGAGGAGGAGCAGGATCACAGTTCTCATCAGACTCCTGGTGCATTATTCCCAAGCTGTTTGCACTTCCTCCCGTCAGATCATCGTTAGGGTCCCCGTTCCAGTTCCCACACATACCCTCCGTTGTGTTTGCACAAGATTCGTGGAGCCACATTTCAGCGTTGATATAAGAACCACCGTTGGTAGCACGCAGACGCACGGACGGGTTTCTGTCCTTGTTGTGCAGCCTTATTTCAAGTTGACCATTGTTGATGATTTCAACCGTATCTCCGTTGTTATAATGTTTAATGTAGGGAATTTGAACCTGGTAAGTTTACCATTTGCAGATTAATATTTTATGAGATTTGGGAAAGCCTGTTATTCACAATTTTGAATTTTGTACGAAAGTCTTGATTAATAATATTTTGGGACTAGGTGGCAACCCACAAATTTTGATTTAACACTATAGCACTTGACATTTGTAGAAAATTGTAATAAATATTGAATTACTCACTGCGGTATCATCGACCTTTGACTGCCAACCCCTCTCAATGGAAAACTTGGTTCCCTTGAAAATCAACTTAATTTGTTCGGTGTATCTTGGTGCTCGATTATGAAGATCAACGTTCTTGAAATTTACCTGAAATAAGAATTGTGATAACAAATGTTGCAGTTTGTAATATTCACAATTTATTGCAGTATCTCATTAAATTATAACATGAAATTCGGGTGTGAGCAGATCAAAAGGGTAACTGGGATCGCATAATACTATGTTTGAATGTTGTATAAGGACACCACGAACTAATAAGGTCCTGTTAATTAATTTCTTGATAACATTTGAAGCACATCCACCAACCAAAATTATTGTACCTTATAATCACAATTCAATGATAAAGAAGAAGCTAAACAATAAAACTTACAACAAAGTCGCCACAGCTGGCTGCCTGGTAAGTACATTTTCCATGAAAATCATAGTATTTTCCGTCAAACGACCTGTAGTGAGGATCTCCGGAGCTGGAACAATATCCTGGTACTGAAATTAATTTGGTGAGCACTAATTTACTGTAGTAATAAATCCTTATCAACATTTTACAATTGTAGTTTAATAACCTGCCAAGACGTTCGCCGAGTTGGACTCGTCGAAGGTTCGGAACAAATATTTTACGAGTACCACCTGTTAAAAATAAAATCAGCATAGCGTGTTGTTCACTATAAACTAACCTGTTATTCCTAATAGGCATGTTTGTTTTATACCTACTCAGCAAAGTCAGCTACATCATCAGCTACAACATCAGACAGTGACCTGGTCTCCTTTAGGGTGTTATACAAGAACTAATTGTTTATCTTTATTAATTGTTTGTATTTATATTTATCATTTGATTAAACAGTATTCGATTAAAGTGTTTCACGGTCAATCTAATAGGAACAAATTAAACATTGGTAGCAGGAACATTGGTAACGTCACACACCATCATTTTCATTGTCACGTAACCCTCTCCCACAGGTATGGTCAAGCAGATAAAAGCTCCTAAGTGGAATGGAGACTATGACAGATATAAAAAGATGTTGATTATATGGCTCCGAACAATCGAAGAGACCAATACGGATAGTGACATAGTATCTGCAGTAATTCTGGGATTGGATAAAGCAACTGGAGATAACAATCAGGCTTGTGATTTAATACTGGACATGGATGAAGATAGACTCTATCCTAATTTGGATATAATGGCAGGAGTTGGAGAAGAAGTTACTGGTGCAGATAGAGATGCAGCCATTAAGAAATATTTTGATGATCAAATGAAAGAGTTTCCTGAGAAGAAAGTTACTGTGGGTAACAAGGAAAGAATAATTCCTGGATTAAACACAATTCTAACAGCTCTGCATGAGAAATTTGGTCTAAAAAGGGAAGAAAAGATGTTCAGAGACTATGAGGAATACGCCAATCTTTGTAGGGACAAGAGTAAAGAGTCTATGAAGGATTATATAATCAAAGCAGAGACACTTACAAGAAAGCTGGCTAAGCACAAAATTATGATTCCTGACATGGTGTTGGCTTATAACCTATTAAAAGGAGCTAATCTTGGAAAAGAAGAAAAGTTGGCTAGAACATCAGTAGACAGTATGACATTTGAAAGCATGAAAAAGACTTTGATAAAAATGTCTGATGGTATCATGGAGATTGGATCTAGTGAATCCAAAATTACTCCTAAAATCAAAGTTAAAGAAGAACCTATCATGTATCAAGAAGAAACTCAGGAATATCATGAAGATGAGTACTATGATAGTGATTGGGACGAACCCCAAGATGATGAGGATAAAACTGTCTACTACCAAAACCAAGGATACAACAGATATCGTCCCCGTGGATTTCCTACCGGGCAGAGAGGAAATAGCTTTAGATCTCGTGGAGGTTATAGAGGAAGATCCCATGAACAAATTAAGCATTTGAATGAACAATTTGAATCAAGAAGAGGAAGATCT